AGGAGAAATGAGATCTGATTTCTGGTTTTTATTTTTTGTTTTTGGGTTTTTTATTTTTTGTTTTGGGGTTTTAATGAAATAATATAATGCAATCATGATCATTTTATCTTTATGGAATAACGTGATCATAAGCATTTAATTTTTATCCAATGGTCTACAATTTTCGTGATCGGTGTCAAAAAGTTTGCCTTCACTATTATTGCATTCCTCATTTTTTTTTTCTGTATTGTGTATAATTTTGTTTAAAAAGACTATCATAATATACTTTGGCCTCATTTAGTTCACGAATTTGAGTTTTTAATTCGAGTTTAGATGTGATTTTATGTTAAAGCTTTTCATTGTAGTAGAAAAAGTTAGATTTGACTTTTTGTGAGAGCTTTTAACTGTAAAAAAACTGGAATTGAAAACTCGAATTAATGAAATGAACAAGGTTTATCTCTTATATAAGTATAATTCACGAAATTTTATGGGCAATATGTCCATAAGATTAAGCTCTTTATATGGCAAGCTTTTAGCGACATCCTTCCAACTAGGGAGAATCTGTCCAACCAAGGCATTTCCTGTCTTGGAGTTTGTGGTCACTGCAATGATGACTCGGAGTCTGTGTTTCATGCTTTAGGCCTCGTTCATTTCACCGATTTGAGTTTTTAGTTCTAAGTTTTCACCGTTAAAAGTTATCAAAAAATGTCACATCTTTTTCTGCTATAATTAAAAGCTCTGAGAAAATGTCATATCTCAACTCGAATTGAAAACTCAAATCTGCGAAGCAAACAGGGCCTTAATTTCCTACCCAGCTGTGAATGTTATATGGAGTGAGGGTGTTTTTAGAAACTTAGTGAGGAGATTTCAAGGTGATCAATTCGTTTATTACATCTTGCCATTGCATAAATGGGTAAAGCAGGAGGAGTTAGAGCTGATCTGTATCATTTTGTGGCTAGTATGGTCTGATAAAAATGCCTTCACGCATGAGGGAATGAATAAATGGATTATTCGGTTGGAGTTTAACTCAAAAAAAGTTTGAACTCAAGTTACAACTTTATTCAAGTTCATGTTCTTTTGTAAACTTTGAGTTTGAACTTGAGTTTTAACTTGAGTTTGGGGCTAAAATTTGAGTTTAAGTTCTCTCATTCAACTCAAGTTCTTAAACTCAAATTCAAGTTAATGTACAATATTTTTTTATTCTTAAAAACGCCATAACTTTTTCGTTTTAATTCTGATTTAGATGATTTTTTTCTATGCGTTCACAACGAAGAGACGAATAAAGTCTCACCCATATACCCTATTAAATTTTTCATCACCGTTGAGTTTTTATTAAAATACTATCAAAATATAAATTCAAGTTTTGAACCACCTAAACACAAACTCAAATAGATTCTCAATTCAAATCATAATTCAAAATGTGCCCATCCAAACACAAACTCAAATTAGAGTCTCAATTCAAACCATACTCAAATACACCTTAACTCAAATCAAGATCTGAACTCAAATCAGCCTAACTCAAAAAAATGCAAACGAACAAGCCCAGACACTCAGGTTATTCGTGAAGAAGCTGCAAGATGGCTCAAAAAGTTTCAAGATTTCCAGCTCATTGGTAATAGGAATTTGTCTCCACGACCCTCTGCAATACAGGTTGGGTCCCTCCACCAAGTACGCCACTCAAAACCAAAGTTCATTTATTTTAGTAATTCGAGTTTTTAATTCCAGTTTTGCTACAGTTAAAAGCTATTACAAAAAGTCACATCTAACTTTTTCTGCTACAGTGAAAAGCTCTCACATAAAATCACATATCAATTTAAATTAAAAACTCGAATCCGCGAACTGAACGAGGCCTAAATGTTGATGCCTTTGTTTTTCCCACTTGGGCTCAGTAGGAGTGGGCGGCCTCATTGAAGACTCTACATGCTTTGTCTTAGTAGCATTTGCTAGGAAGTTGCCTAGGTCTTTTATGGAACGTTTGGTTTATGGATTTAGAACTATGATTCATGATTCTGATTTTTAAAATTTAAATTTATTGTGGGAGAAAAATACTGTAGAGAACCAAGAACTATGATTCAAAACCAGAGACGAACTCTTTAAACAAACATCATATTAGTATTTTAATTGTTGAATCTTTAGCCGTCTGCGAAGGTTTAGACTTTATTCTAGAGAGTGAACTGAGCTTGCAGTATCTTATGTTGAGTGTGATTCCTCTTATGTGGTTCAATATGTGAATGACCCAGCTAGTTTAGCTGTTGAAGAGCCTGTTTTAGCATATGTTTGACTGCTTTTGAGTAATGGTGGTGGTGGTACTTATAGGTCCCGTTCATTTCACCGATTCAAATTTTATTATAGTAAAAAACTCTCAGAAATAATCACATTTAATTTTTTTGTTACAGTAAAAAGTTTTGTAGTTTTGTTTCTCGCACAGGTAAAGCAGCCCACACAAAGCGCAATTGGCCTTCTTGTTAGATTCTGACAGATACTGGTTGGAGGAATTTCCAGATTGTATTTCTAAGGTTGTAAGCCCGAGATGGTTATTTCTTTTTGTTACACCACGGTCGAGGGATCGACCACGCCCTCGACGTTAGGCGCCGAGGAATCCCCATCCGGCTCGACCGCCAGTGTCAAAGGAGTGGTAGCAGCTAAGGTGCCCTCTACGTCGAGAGACATCATGTGGAGAAAGGCGCCGAGGACTGACGTTCGACCTTCGATAGCCACGGCGTCGAGGGATACAGTCAAATCAATCCCATCGACTGTCCTGCCAACTCGGGGAAAGAAGCACCAATCCAACGGTCGCTGCAGGAGTCAGTAGATCGTGCAGCAGATAAGAGGGGTCAGCCGCATTTCCTGAGATTTTCATCATTAAAACTCACCTACCCTCCCGATTATCGAGGAAGGGAGATGGCTTCCTCCTTGGGAACGGAGAAGGCATGGGGATTTTGTAGTCACCTATAAATAAGGGAAAAAGGACCCAAAAAAGGGGTTAGACACCATTTTCGTTGTAAGAAGGGAGAACATCTGTAACCGACTGAAATATTAGTGCATGCACAAGTGGATTAGGCAAAGAATTATTGCCGAACCACTATAAAATTGTTGTCTCCTTTACATTATCCGTCAATTTTTATCTTTGATTGAACCGTGAGTGTTTTTGGGAGAGGTAATTACGAGTTGTCGGAAAAACACCGTCAACACTTTTTAATATTTCAATATTCCATTTTCAAAAAAAAAAAAAGAATTCACAAAATAATATGGGTTGTGAAAATAAAAGTATTGACACTGCATGCATATTTTACTTTTGTTGCCATGAACGTCAAATAAATAAGCTCTTCACTATATCTTACAAAAATAACAATGATTCACTTAACTTTACGCATAAAAATTTGATTCATACCTTTCTATCTTTCACCAATACCATTATTGAGATTTATCTTTTACTACTACTACCAGTGAAAAGCAAGTAGTAAAGATTTTAATGTAAGAATAAGATAGTAAATAATTTAAGAGATGCATATAAGAAAATAATATTTAAGATAGCTGCATGAAAAGATGCTAAAATATGGACAAATTTTGAGAATTAGGAAAGAAAAAAGTTTATAAGGGCCCCGAAACACAAACCACCTACAAAGAATTGCAGGCAAATCATTTTTTTTTTAAAACCTACACAATTATACTACACTGTAATACAACTTTTACCAAAACTTTGAATAGTATATTATTAGTGAATGGACAACAGATGATCTCTTTTTATATAAAATAAGAATAAGATAAGATAAGATAGATAAATAGATTATTTTTATTTTTAAAAATATTATAGTAAAGCAAAATTAGGGAGAAAATCACTTATGTTATTAGTACATATAGGAAAATAGTATTTTAGAGGACAACAAGAGAAAGACATTTAAGCAAAATAAATAATTATAACAGTCATTAAAAAAATAAGAATATTTTTAAGGACTATATAAAAATATTAAGAAGTGGCCTATTTGAAAAAGTTACTTCAATAGGGTGTGAAAAAAATATTATTTTAATGAGCATTTTTAAAAACACAATTATTTTTGGAGAAGTGGGAAAATAACGTATTTAGTAAGTTGTTTAGTAAATCATAGTATTTTTTTTAAAATAATAGATTATAACATAATTTGATATTTTAAAATTTAAATATTATTAAAAATTTAAAAATATCCTTAAGTCTCCTTCTTGTCTCTCTCTTCTTTTCCCTCTAACAAGTGCACCATCGGCGGCGAACTCCAATGATCAGCGGCCATCACCGGTGACCAACTCTAATCGTTAATAAATGCCGTATTTATTAATAAATATCATATTTATTAAAAATATTATATTTATTGATAAATACCATAATTAAAAGGTAAATAGTAAAAAATAGGTCAATATGAAATGCTTAAGAAAGTATATAGGTCAATTTTTAGTTATAAAAATTAATAGGCCATAACTTATCAAGTTATAGTTCATAACTAGATAAGTTATAGATAAACTTGTCAAGTTATGGTTTATAACCAGACAAGTTATAGACAATTATGGACAATAACTTGTCAAGTTATGGTTCATAACCAGATTAATTATGGATGAAAACAGTAATTTAATATATTTATTAACTTATATAAACTATTAACCTATTAATTTTAATTCATCTCAAATCTTTGTCTATTTGTCTATTTCTTCCTAATTAAAATGGTTTGAGTTGTATTAGAAAGCCGTGCGAGTGTTTTCTCAACATTAATGTGAAAATTAATAAGGTAAAATAAATTCGGAAAAGAAAAATATTTGACCAGTGGAGGGAGGCCAGACCAAAAGAGTTGGAAGCTGACTTGCCCGACTGCCAGGCATTCCACGCGCGTTTCCACTACCAAACACAAGCTGCCAGCTTATTACACCCCTTCACGAATTTACACAAATACCCCTAGTCGTGCATCCACGCGCCTCGCGCGTGAACACCACTGCGGATGAAGCGAAAAGAAAAAGGGAAAGGCGAGAGAAATCGACGCTCGGAGGCGAGAGTCAGATTGAGAAGAGGGAAGTTTTTTGAAACCCTAATCGAGACGAATTGGGAAAAAAAAAGGAGCGAAAGAAGAAGAGATCCGTACGTCCACTCGCTCTTCCCCCTCGCGTGGGAGATCTTCTCTCTCAGTGCGTCTCAGATCGAAAGCCCCATCTCCAAGCTCCGGTACTTTCTCCCCCCCAATTTTCTGCGTTTCTCTTGTTGTTTCTTCTTTTTTTTTTCCCCGAGAAAATAAAAATCGATTTTTTCCGTTTCTATTTCTTCTTCTTGAAATTGTTCTTCTGCGCGTGGTGATTTTCGCGGCGTCAACTCGTGGTTATTGGTGTATTGAGAGTTTTGATTGATTTCCGTAAAAATGAAACGGAAAAGATTATATATATGTGTGATTACAGTGGGGTTTTCGTTATCTTCTAAATTCAATTTCTTTTGCCTTTTAATGTGGAAACTTTTTTTTTCTTTTTCTTTTTTTTTTTCTGTGTAATAATTGCCTTCTGTTTTATGTTAAGATTATAGGTGTTATGTGATGTTTTGATTTGTATTTATGAGTGTGTACAATATATATATATATATATATATATATATATGTATGTGTGTGTGTGTATGTGTGTATACACATTTAAATGCATGTAGACGCTTTATGGGTTTGTTTATGATAAGCTAAGTTAGTGAACAGGGTCGACCTCAAACTTTACTGGTACAACTAGACTTGTGCATTAATGCAATATTTGTGTGGATTGTTTCCTAAAGCTGAATAATTTTGATGTCATATATATAACCAGATGTGGAAGATAAAAACCACATGTACTTGTACTTTGAATTCTATTCTTGTTGTTGAATACATAAATTCTGTAGCATTGTCGAAGTTGCAAACGTATTAGATACATTCAAAATTCAATGTCTTTATGCTTCAATTAGTTCAACATTTGCTTGTTAACACGAACTATTGTGTTAGTTTTAGATATTTATTTAATGTTACATTTTGTTCATTTTTTTTTTAATTAATTTGCTGGAAGATTTTGTTTGAGATGCAAGGATAAGGACCAGCCAGTGTTTTAGATAACGGAGTTCTATAACGATACCAAATCGTGAATTGCTGGAAGATTTTATTATACAACAGGGAAATGTTTTGAACTATGAACGTTGAACTTTGAATGTTTTTAAAGAATATCTTTTGTGGCTTAAAACTTTATTGCAACATGTAGGTTTTTCAAAGCTCTAAACTGTTCTGTGGTTGTTGATACTTTCCTATGGTGAGGAGATCCAAAGATGAGAATGCACATTGACATTGATATATACTGCTGTGTTTATAGTAAAGAAGATATTTGGGAATAGATATTAGACATATTTTTTTTTTTAATTTTTTGTTTTTAAAATTTTGAAAAGAAACAAAACTTCATTAAGACAAAATGAATAGTAAAGTACAACGTAAGCAGGAGAGGAAGTCCACCTGGAAAAATATCATACAACAACAACAACAACAACAAGCCTTAATCCCATCTTTATTGGGGTCGGTTATATGGATTTTACTTTTCTACGCAACTATGTTCGAAATTAGATTTTTCTGAAGGCCTAAATCTAGAATGTCATTCTTAACTACTTCGGTCCACGTAATTCTTAGTTTTCCCCTCTCTCCTAGTATTAGGTATAAAAATGTCCTCTCAAGCGCGAACTGGTGCTTCTAACGGTCTATGTTGGACATGTCCGTACCACCTCAAGCGGCATTCGCGCTTCTTATCATCTATTGGTATGGCCACTCATCTATCTTAACATACGCATTTCTGCCACACTCATATTATATATATGTTGTCTTTTAATGGCCCAACATTCACTACTATATAACATAGCTGGACGGATTGCAATCCTATATAACTTTCCTTTCAACTTAATAGGCATCTTGCCATTACATAAAACTCCCGTAGCATTCTTCCACTTAACCCACCCTGCCTTAATCCTATGTTGAACATCCTCTTCTATATCTCATTCGTACTGCACTATAGACCCAAGGTACCTAAACTTTCTAGATGCCCCAATCTCCACACCATCTAAAGAAATTCCATCACTCTGATTACTTGAGTTACAAAACCTTCAATGCATGTATTCAATTTTCATCCTACTTAACTTAAATCCCTTCGTCTCGAGAGTCTTGTCTCCACAGTTCTAACTTACGGTTAACTTCTTCCCTATATTCATCGACTAAAACTATATCGTTTGTAAAAAGCATACACCAAGGAACTCTATCTTGGATTTCTCTTGTAAGCTCATCTATCACAATGGTGAAAAGATAAGGACTAAGAGCAGATCCTTGATGAAGGCCGATTCGAATGGGGAACTCTGCCGTGTAGCCTCCAACAGTTCTCACACTCGTGACCATCCCATCGTACATGTCCTTAATTACCTTGATATACTTCACATGCACTCCTCTCTTTTCTATCACCCACCATAAAACTTCCCTCGGTACCCTATTATATGCCTTTTCTAAATCTATAAATACCATATGTAGGTTCGTCGTAGCTTCTCTGTACCTGGAAAAAAGATCGTAAAATAGGAAAAACTGAAAGTACAAGTGAAAAGAATGAACAAAAACAAATGGAATTTATTTGCATGTAAGTTCATGATTTAGGTTGCATATAGTGCAGACAGTGAGCAGGGGATCTTGTTTAGCTATTGATTGTCTTGGTATTGTAGGAATTATTTTTGAATGAGCGTGATTTTCCAGATTCTTATGAACTATTTGTGACTGGGAATCTAGAGAAATATTATTTAGCATTATGTCTTCGCTTCAATTAATAAGTAGGTGATTACTAATTTCCGTTCATATTTTTTTTTTCCCTATAATGCTATATCATTACGTTTACTGGTCACTATTTGTGTAATCATGCTCATTATCTGGAATTTTGTTCTCCTTGATTAACAAATTGGCATGTGGCCGTTAAATTGCTGAAAAATACTTGGATTTCATTTCTTGCGTTAAGCTCACTTAATAAGAAGTTGAATGAAAAGATGGGAAATTCCATGATATTACTTTCAGTGAACAAGGTCACTTTTATTATTGGCTTGGGCTTGTTGGATGGAATAGTTACTATAATCCTGCATAATAGCAATTGCAGTGTTACTATACGGCAATATGGTTACAGACTCTGTTTACTTTATTTGGCTTGTTTTTGGTGTTACTGGTTTCTCTTAGATAGTTGTTTGCTGGGTGCATAAGTTTGCTGAGAAGAATCGATATGTCACTGTTATTATTTTACGTTGATTGTCTGTCAACTTTTCAGGTATCCCTGAAATCATAACCTCGTGGTAAATTATTTTCATCATGGACATAGATCTCAGGCTGCCTTCTGGTGGGACTGACAAAGATGGTGAAGAACCAAGTGCCATTGATAACATGCTAGATCGTGACGAGAAACTACATAATGGAGATATTATGACTGGAAGTATTGTTGAGATGGGAGATGAAGTAAGGGCTGAAGATGGCGGAGATTTGAATTCTCCCACGACAAATGTGGTAGTCTTTAAAGAAGATACAAATCTTGAACCGCTTTTTGGTATGGAATTTGAATCACACGGGGAGGCTTATTCTTTCTATCAGGAGTATGCCCGGTCTATGGGATTCAACACTGCGATCCAAAACAGCCGGCGGTCAAAGACATCAAGAGAATTCATCGATGCGAAGTTTGCTTGTTCGAGATATGGGACCAAGCGTGAGTACGACAAATCCTTTGATAGACCACGTTCCCGGCAAACCAAACAAGACCCAGAAAATGCAACTGGTCGACGATCACGTTCAAAGACAGACTGTAAAGCTAGCATGCATGTGAAGAGGAGGCTAGATGGGAAATGGGTTATACATAACTTTATCAAGGATCATAACCACGAACTGTTACCGGCACAAGCTGTTAGTGAGCAGACAAGAAAGATGTATGCTGCCATGGCTAGGCAATTTGCTGAGTACAAAAATGTGCTTTGTTTGAAAAATGACCCCAAAAATCCATTTGATAAAGGTCGAAATTTGGCACTAGAGGGAGGAGATTTGAAGATTTTGCTTGATTTTTTCACACACATGCAGAATGCGAATGCTAACTTCTTCTATGTGATAGATTTGGGGGAAGATCAACGTCTCAAAAATTTGTTCTGGGTTGATGCCAAAAGCAGGCATGACTATACCAATTTCAGTGATGTAGTGTCCTTTGATACCACCTATATTAGAAATAAATATAAGATGCCTCTTGCTCTATTTATTGGAGTGAATCAACACTATCAATTCATGTTGCTTGGATGTGCTTTGTTATCAGATGAAAGCGCATCGACACTCTCTTGGTTAATGCAGACGTGGCTGAATGCAATGGGTGGTCAAGCACCAAAGGTTATTATAAGTGACCATGACAGAGTGTTGAAATCAGTTATTTCACAGGTCTTTCCAAGTGTTCATCATTGCTTTTGTTTATGGCACATATTGGGGAAGGTTACTGAAAATCTTGGTCATGTAATTAAACGACATGAAAATTTCATGGCAAAATTTGAAAAATGCATTTACAGGTCATGGACAGTTGAAGAATTTGAAAAGAGGTGGTGGAAAATTCTTGATAAATTTGAACTCAAAGATGATGAATGGGTTCACTCATTGTATGAAGATAGAAAACAATGGGTTCCAACATTCATGAGGGAGGCTCTTTTAGCTGGAATGTCTACCATACAACGATCTGAGAGCGTAAACTACTATTTTGACAAGTACGTGCATAAGAAGACCACTGTTCAAGAGTTCTTTAAACAATATGAAACAATTTTACAAGACAGGTATGAAGAGGAAGCTAAGGCAGATTCTGATATGTGGAACAAGCAGCCCACATTAAGGTCTCCTTCCCCTTTCGAGAAAACTGTTTCTGGGGTTTATACAAATGCTGTGTTCAAGAGATTTCAAGTTGAGGTTGTGGGTGCGGTTGCTTGTCATCCAAAGAAGGAAAGACAAGATGAGATGGGCGTTGTGTTTCGAGTTCAAGATTTTGAAAAGAACCAAGACTTCCTTGTTTCGTGGAATGAGATGAAGTCAGAAGTTTCTTGTTTATGCAGGTTATTTGAATACAAGGGTTATCTTTGTAGACATGCTCTGATTGTTCTCCAAATTTGTGGCGTGTCTGCCATCCCAGCCCAATATATTTTAAAAAGATGGACAAAAGATGCAAAGAACAGGCATTTGACAGGAGAAGAATCCAACCAAGTACAATCTAGGGTGCAGCGGTACAATGATTTATGTCAACGGGCGATGAAATTGAGTGAAGAAGGTTCTCTATCACATGAGAGTTATAGTCTTGCTTGCCGTGCACTAGATGAAGCTTTTGGAAATTGCACGAGTGTGAATAATTCTACTAGAAGTCTTGCAGAAGCTGGTCCATCAGCCACTCATGGCCTACTGAGCCTTGAAGAGGATGCCCAAAGCAAAAGTATTGGCAAGACAAATAAAAAAAGGACCCCAGCGAAGAAAAGAAAGGTTAGCTGGCTAACTCATGATATGTCTTTGTTTTTCCTTTTTTGGGGCAGATTATATTCCTGTTGGCTGATAATAATGGCATTCTCTATTTGCAGGTGAGTTTTGAGCCGGATGTTATTACTGTTGGGACACAAGACAGCTTGCAACAAATGGTTTGTCCTATTTCCTGATTACTGAGCATTTGTTATGAAATAGTTTAATGTGCATTTCAATTAGTATTACAATAACTAATACTATCTTCTAATTGGAATCTTATTTTCAGGAGAAGTTAAACTCTAGAGCAGTAACTCTCGATAGCTATTATAGTGCACAGCAGGGCGTGCCAGGAATGGTATGATGAACAATGAATATGCATGTAAAAGTATACTTTATGTACCCTGATAAGCCTGATAAGTAATTTTACCTCTTTTCCTTGCAAGATACAGTTGAACTTGATGGCACCAACGCGGGATAATTATTATGGCAGTCAACAAACCATTCAGGGGCTTGTGAGTCGTTTATTATGATAATAATGTACAACGAAGTACTAATTACCAAAAAAAACAAACATAGTGAGTATGAATCATGTGATTATAATATTCTGGTTTGAATCATTTTAGGGACAGTTAAACTCAATAGCCCCAAGCCACGATGGATATTACAGTGCTCAACAAAGCATACATGGGCTGGTATAGTGTATTCTGTAACCCCATTCTAAATTCTGAGTCCATGATGCTGTGCTAGTTGGTGGCGTTTAACACATTGTTGGATCATGCTTGCAGGGACAGATGGATTTTTTCCGAGCACCAGCTGGTTTCACTTACAGCATTCGGGTTCGTTAGCTAGATGCAATATTCTTATAGCTTCTAAGAATTAGTTTGTAGTTTTGTACTTGCAGTAATTTCTCACCATGCGGCTTTATTTCCATGGCAGGATGATCCCAACGTGAGAACGGCATCTCTGCACGACGATGCACCGAGACATGGATGAGGAGCACCGGATTCACTCTGAAGGTAATGTGTTGGAAGCCAATGTCTTTGTTACTCCTTTTATGCTGTTGAGCGATTCCTTTACTTGAAAGTTGAAAAACCAGGAGATATAGTATAAATTTGGATGAATCAATTGTGTAGGTGGAGAGACAATCTGTTGAAGCTAATTTCTCTGTAGAAAGGAGTCTATCATGCCTTGTATGGAAGGACATCACTCTAGAGAAAACCTGCTCTTTTGGTGTCTGTAAAATGATGTAGAGTAGGCTGTTGTTCATCTTTTTTCCAGTCTTATGTGAAATCTCATTTAGCGTCCAAAAAATAGATTACCTAGAGTTTTTTTATTTTTTTTTATTTTTTTTATTTTCTGTAAAGGGTATTGTTTTGTAATTTGTATTTCTGATTGTTTAGCTTAAATAGGATTAGCTCCAATCAGAAAAAATTTAGTTCAAGTTCAATTCCTACCACCACGGATTAGTGTGTTGTTACTTTTTATGCGCATGAGCCAGCAGAAATTGGTTCGCTCTCATGTAACTTTAGTTCATTCTATTTTCTTTTTTCCCGTTTTCTTAAAATCTTCTACATCATGGAAACGACAAAAACAAAAATAGTAACATTACAACTTTGATGACTTTTTCTAGATATTTTGTTTTTTAAGTTTTAAAGTAGAGGAACCAAAATGAAATATTGAAGCCTTAAATGATGTTATGAGAATTAGACTTTATGTGCTTTAGTTATGAATCATATTATCACGAGCCCCTCCCAAAAAAATAAAATAAATAAAAAACCATTACCCATATCAGTTGCCATATCCGTGCATCCATGGTTGACCCTTCAATTCTTGATATAAATTTGGAATAAAATCAATTTAGTACCTGTATTATATCAAAATACGTTGTTGGTATTTTATATTTTTAATAATATTAAAATAATATAGGTATGTTGAGACTCTTTTTGAGATATAAAATATCTAAATTACCCCTCTTAGTAATTTACTATAATTAAATTTTACAATATGTGTTAAAAATTCAAAACAAAAAACAAAAAGTAAACAAAAAATAAACTGAATGTTCATTTAAAATCTTGAAATTTTAAGGAAGCGTGATATGTGATAATTTTTGAGTGGAAATGAGAATCTTCTTATATTATTATGCTGGGTATAAAAATTGTGATTTTTAAATTCTCAAAAATATCAAACCATGGAATTTATTTTACCCAAAATGAGATAATCTGAATAACACGTCAGATTCTAGGAATCTCAAAAGCATTTCACTCACACACAACACACCACTGTTCTTCTCACCACTGGAAATCTGAAGGCCTCCACCGGTACTCCTCACCTCTGCAGGCCCTCACCACCGCCACTCCTCACCTCCGCAGGCCCTCACCATCGCGGTCCCCGCCCTAGCACCCTCACCGTCGTCGCTCCAAAACGTCGCGAGTCCCCGCCGTTGCAACCCTCCCTCGAGTGAGGCCGGAAAGCCAACATTGTAGACGTAGCAGGTCCCCACCGTCTGCAACTCCCCCAACGTCGCGGGTCCCCACCGTCTGCAACCCCTATAACGTCGTGGGCCGCCACCGTCTGCGCCCCCCTAACGTCGCGGGTCGCCACCGTCTGCGACCTCCCTAACGTCGCGGGTTGCCACCCCCCCCCCCCCCCCCCCCCCCCCCCAAATATCAAATCTGGTTTGAGATTGAGAGAGAGAGAGAGAGAGAAATAAAGTTATCAAAGTCGCCACCCCTGTAGCAGAATCTCCGCCTCAGCGAGCCACCTCTGCCTCCATCGCTAGCCTCTGCGCGACCGACCTCGCCGTTCACAGGGAGCCTCCGCACCAGCCACCTCCTCCCTCGCGAGCCACCTCTGCCCTCCACCGTAAGCCTCGCGCTAGCAACCTCGCCCCCACAAGTTCCATCAAACCTCTATAGTACGGGAACGAAAACCCAAGGTTTTCTAAGGGAACTGAACGTCATCAACGCCGCCTCCGAAGGAGCAATCGCCTCCTCGAGAGCGATGCTCCTCAAAACGGCGTTGTGGAGCAGATTGATGATTTGTTTTCTTGTTTCGTGATCTGATTTGTTTCGATGTTGATTGACGATTTGTTTTGTTTTGTGGTCTGATTTATTTCATTGTTTGATTCTGTTTTGTGATTGATGATTTGAGCAGTTATATTCTTTTTGTGGATTTTGTTGGTTGCTTGAATTTTACTTCATGTTTTCAGATTGAATGAGAAAGAACGGAAGAAGATTAAGACCGTTCATTTTACCGAGAGATTAGAATTTGAATTTTGTCAATTAATTTTTTTTTAAAATAATTATATTTAATTTTTTTATTACAGTATAATATTTTTATATAAAATTATATATTAATTTAAATTAAAAATTTAAATATAAATGACTTTAAATCTGAGTTTTTTATATATATAAATTTATTTTAAGGTTCTCTGCGGTGATTTTTTCATACATTTTGTACAAAATTAATTTGAAATAAATTAATGAGAAGGGCAATTTAGACATTTTTATCTAAAAAACTCATGGTGCCTAAAAGAAATTTTTTAAAATTTAAAGATATTATTTTAATATTATTAAAAACATAGAGTAAATTAATTTTTTTAATTTCCGAGAGAGTGTTAACGGCATGTTTTATATAATACAGGTACTAAAAAATCAATTTATCCTTATAAATTTTTGTAATTAATGAGATGTTCACAAATATTTTTGAAAACCTTGCCATTATTTTACTCTACCGTATAATGGCAATCCCCAAGTATCAAAACAAAAGAAAAGTTTTCTATAATCTATATTTATAAGTATAACTAGGCAAATAAGGATCAGAAATTGAAACTAATATAATCCTCCAATCAAAATCACGTCATCAGAAATTTTTCTAGGATTAATTCTTAAAAAGTAACTGTATTTTTATTCCTTATTATTTATTAATACTTTTTTAACTAATATAATTATTTAATTAAAAAAATATTAATAAAAAATAAATGATAAAGATGTAGAACCATATACTATGATGAGTATTTATCTCTTTTTGTAAAATGGTCAAAACATGTGTAAACCTTCGGAATTAACCTTCAGATTAGAAGGATGGAACACTATTTTGTTCAATATTGCTCCTTCTGTTTAAGTTATTGTATCTATTTTAAAAAAGGGATAGTTATGAACAAGGAGGTCAATAACAGAAAGGTCATTATTATAAAAGAGTAGTTTTGCACTTTTTCTTCATTAAAAACAAAAAGGGCAATACTGAATACAATGGACAATATTGATTTCATATTAATTTTTAAAGACTTTTTTCCTTAGACTTTCTTACCGATAGTACTAGTTTTGATACAGATTTAATAACTGAAAAGTAGAAAACTATTGATAATTCATTTATATTGGTCTTATTAGAGAAACTCCCTAACTTTTAATGGTCAATTTAAAAAAAAATTCTTTTTTTTTTGTTTGATATCTTAAATGCTAGATTTAATCGCAAATTGTTACATATAACTGTACATGGTCATATAATGTACCTTTCTACAGCCATTATACATACTACATGGTTGTAGTTGTGATGATGACGTTTATATAAACGGATTTTCTTTGGTGTTTCTTTCTTTTTGAGAATATTGGTGTTTTACTTTTTAATTATTAGATTTGTATCAAAATTTATCTATTCTGCATGCTTTTTCAATTTAGTGTGATTTTGACCAGATCTAACGACTGAAGAGGCAGTGAACACCGTTATTCTCAAAAAGTAGAAAACACCGGAAAAACTCCCTTATATAAAACCCTTTTTTCATCATACAAACACGGTTACTTTTAGTTAACTAGTATGAATGACCAATTTTTCTAGTTTCATCTTTTGAGGCAAAAGTTATGGCCTCTCACCATGAATATATTGTAAAAGATAATGCCTGTTTTAGCTTTTAGAGATGAGCTTTTTACCCACAAGTATGTGTATCGGTAGATACTCACTCTAAGGCCTCGTTCACTTCGCGGATTCGAGTTTTCAATTCTAGTTAAGATGTGACATTTTCTGAGAGCTTTTCACTGTAGCAGAAAAAGTTAGATGTGACATTTTCTGAGAGCTTTTCACTGTAGCAGAAAAAGTTAGATGTGACATTTTCTGAGAGCTTTTTATTGTAGAAACCTAAAACTGAAAACTCGAATCGGTGAAATGAACGAGACCTATATAAAACAAATATGGAGGTGTTAAATGAGAATTAGAACAGATATATGAGCGTATTATGTCTCGCAAAATGGGGGAGAGACTCCCCTGCCCTCGATATACGTATAAGTATATTTTTAAAATTATTTTTAATACAAATATATATTATATATTATAATAGCACTTAAAAATATGGAATTAAAAAGTTTAAAAGTATTTTATTATTTTACATCTTAAAAAACCCTAATGATATTCCTAAATTCTTATTATAAATAGTAATTTTTGTTTAACCTAAATAACCTATGTGGCATATGCCTCTACTTTTGTTAATCATTTCTAAAAATCAGTGATACAAATTCATAACTTTCTAGTTTAGAAGAGTACATGCAAAATAATAATATTATCTCAATAATTTTAAAAGAAAAATGTTAACATCATTTTTTCTGTCACTTTTTTTGTCACTCACGTGGATTCTATTAATATAATATATTATTAATTAAATACAAATGGGATAATAGAGTACACGTATCAAATATGAAATGTAGCAAGTGGCAGAAAAAATGATGCTAATATTTTTCATAACATCAACAACATTATTAATTAAATTAGAGATATATCTACAACATGAAGTCTAAAAAAGATCATTTTGTGTAATTATTCAAAAAAAAAAGAAAAAGAAATGCCCAAATAAAAATTATTTGACGCAAGAAAGAATGGACTTTTACCGATAGAGTTAATTTTTGGCAGTTGTATCTGATTAAAATTACATCATGTTGAAAAAGGATGCAGAATAGACCGTTTCTGATAACGATTGAAAATAAAAAATTATTGGTGGTTTGTTTTTTTGGACCTACTAGAGAAACTCCTATAAAAGAAAAAAAAAGAGAAAATTACAGATTCTATCTACTTAAGTTCCTAACTTATTAAAAGTATCTTTTTTAAAAAAACTCTATCCCTTACTAATTCTAGTTTAAAAGATATAATATATGAGTTAATATTAATGAGTAGGAATAAAATGTGACTTTATTTCAGGGGTATTCTTAACAAATGGCCACAAAACAATGTGTAGAGAAAAACTCAAGAACTTATTACAAAACAAAATTAATCGATGTCGACAACTTTAACAAGGTTAATTAAGGATCCAAATTTTATTTAATTTTAAAGTCTCTCGAGCTGTAGTACAATCTCCACAACATGCTGTTGGGCATGAAAGGGACGCTATAAAGATATACCTATACGTGTGTGTTCTTTCAGCGAACACATGCATATATATATATATATATGTGTGTGTGTGTGTGTGTGTGTTATATATATATATATATATATATATATATATATATATATTCACTAATTAACTTCTATACAACAATATTTTAGATGTCTAAGCACTGGTAATGCATGCTCGTGGATTCTCTTTGCCAGACAATATTGGCTTCACGTTCTTACACTCCGACGTGATCGCGCCTTCGCTTCCTTTGTATGAAAGATTAATATCCGAAAGTTGCACATTTTGGCATGGATAGCCTTTGCTGCAAACAAGCTTCACAGCCACAGCAGTTGAAGAACTTCCCCGAATGTTCTTGAAGCTGATATTGCTGAGCTTAACTCTAGATGAAACCTGTAAAATATTCATACAAAATCATTGATCAAACATTACGTTACCGACCTAGTTGGGATGTGCTTACTTTCTCTGACATCAGTATTTTCGGGAAAAAAAAGAAGAGTTCATTATACAATGAATTGCTACCTTTGCGTTGCATTTGTTCCATGGACAGTACTCTTGGTCTATTACAATCGGATTGCCTACATTATCCAATTGTATGTCCTCAAAGTGCATGTCTGAAGCCGTTCCCGGTTGCGAATCGGGCCATGTCTTGATTCTGACTCCGTTCTGGGTGTTCTTGAGGGTGCAGCTCTTGACGAACACGCCTTTCACGGCCTCTTCGTTTGCATACATTCCGAGACTTCCTATGCTAATGCCGTGTCCAGGTCCGCAGTTAACCTTGTTGATGGTTACCTGCTGGCTACCCTCGCCAATCGAGATGCAGTCGTCGCCGGTCTGGATGTTCGAGTCGAGGACTTTGACGTCGGTTGAACGACCGATGTGGATTCCGTCCGTGTTGAGACTGTCACCTGGGGCTGAGACTTTGAAATGTTGGAATGTGATGTTCTTGCACCCCAGAACGTTCACATGGAATTGCTTGCTGTCCAACGACGTCACATATTGGACTACTGAGTTCGTAAGGAAGTTGAATCTGACATTCTGTTTACTAATGTGTCAGTAGACTAAACATTATGATAGATTGTAAGTACATAATTAGTAAACTGAAAATTTATTTCATATCTTCAAATTAACACAAACCCGCAAATTATTATCGGACAAATCCTATAGTTATTTGCAATAAATTAATCGTTTTGAATCTTCTGATTTTGGGTTCATCCTATTTCTAATCTACGAATTATAGGATAAATCCTAATTTGACACTTGACTTTCAAACATCTCAAAAATGGTCTTCGATCTATGAAAGTGTTCCAAATTAGTCATCAATCCGCCCGATTGTTAAAATCTTGAGTGAAGAAGACATAAGCGGACCATATATGGTTAAGTTGAAGTTAATTTGAAAATTTATATGTTTGGGGACGACAATTATAAAGGAAGTCGTGCCTTTTTTTCATCGATATTTTAGTAGTCGAATGAAAATAGAATTTGACTATAGTTTGAGACTAAAAATGAAATTATCCCTTGTATTTTTCTCATACTAAGTTTGAAATTGTTAGATGTAGAGACAGACAGCTGCTTTTGATAGACTCTTAATTAGGTAATGCCTGGAGGAGCTTACAATGGGAAGGTTGCCGCAATACTGACTACTGGTGCACGTCTTGCCCCAAGCGGTTTTGCCTTGGCCGTTGAAGGTTCCGCCGCCGGTGACGGTGAGGGAGTCGATGTGTTCGAAAGAAATCCAGCTATCTCCGCCTTTGAAATTGCCGTCGACCGCCGGGGCCAGCAATGTGCCTTGCAGATTGAACTCAATAGGAGCCTTGCATGGCCCCTGGAAAGTTGCTTGGCTCACTTTGAATGTCCCTTTTGGGATCAACACTTGACTTCGACTCTTTGTTGCACACGCTTGTTTCCAAGTTTTCAGCAAAGCCTAAGAACATGACATGAATATAAATGCAACAATATTTATTACAACGTGCCAAATGAACAAGGGTACAATATGAATTAGAAAATGTAATTATTTTAAGGAGCCAATCAAATTAAGCGTACCTGAGTAATATCCACTTTTGCATTTGCACCATTTTTGGTCACGTCAAAGACTTGGGCGTTTGAAAGATTTGACGCTACCAACATGAATAAAACAATCTCAATTGTGTTCATTTTCAGACCCATATTCAGGCTGTTTTCTACCTTCTATAAATAATTATTTTTGCCCTTTATCTTTTCGCAAACTTTAATCAATTGGAGGACTTAGTTAGTGCTGAGATTTGAGTTTCGTTTCAATCCCTTCAAATATATAGTTCAATTAGAGCACTCAACATCTCTCAATTCTTTAACCAATTTTAGCATTGCCTTGGATTAAACTCTCCAAATTTAACTCTATGGCCTCTAATCCTCGTAAAATATTGACCATGAGTCATATTGCAGGTAAATGGCTTCTAAGATCTTCCTACTTTTCTGTTTTGGAATTACCAATTGACGCTTAGATAATTTGATTCCTCTTTTTAGAACGAATTATTAAGCAACATTTGTAACATTTTAAGACTTTTAAGGGAAAAAAAAAATTTGAAAACTAGGGCCGTAGATTAATCAATTATTATAATATTACACTTTGAAACCTTCAGTAATCAGGACCGTAGATTGTCCAAACAAATTTATCGTCATTTGTAAGATGATGATGGTGATCTGTTTTTTTTTTTTTTTTTTTTTATATTTTCTCTGAATTTCCTTTTGAAAAATATGATTTATTATTATTATTTTTTGTTTGGGTTAGATTATGGCTTTTGTAAGGAGCTTTCATTGATTCCTTTATATGCATTGCTTGATCTTCTAGTTTTGGTTTCTGGTTTGTTGGGGTATATGATTGGTGGTGTCGTTTGTTTGGGTGCTCGGTCTTCTGTTTTTGGTGCTTGTTTTGGTGTGAGATTATTCATTTTTTTTTTACTATGATTGACACTAACAATCCAAAAAAAAAACAAAACAAAACAAAAATGATGCACACTGTGAGAGTTGGGCCGTAGATTATCCAAACAAATATATAATCGTCATTTGTTTCCATTATTGCTCTATTATTTAAAATTTTCCTTGCTGTCTTCAAAATTTTCAGAATCTTTTCTTATTTATGATAATGATGATGTGGCTTTTTGTAAGGAACTTTTTCATTGATTCCTTCATTTGCATTGCTTGATCTCCTAGTTTTGATTTCTGGTTTGTTGGGGTATGATTTGTGGTGTCGTTTATTTGGGTGATTGATCTTCTGTTTTGGCTGTTTGTTTTGGTGTGAGATTATCCATTTATTTATTTTTACTATGATTGACAATAACAATCCAAAAAAAAAAAAAAATGATGCACATTGTGAGAAAGTAGTTTTAATGAAATTTCAAACTAATATATATATATATATATATATATATGATTCGGCACCGGATTAAAACGGCACATGTATATTTTCTTAAAAACATGTATATTTTCTTTTAAAATATGTATATAGATGTTTAGATAAATTATATGTCTCTCCACATTATACATGTTTTAAAGGAAATATACATGTTTTTAAAGGAAATATACATGTGCCGCTCTAATCTAGTGCCAGATTGAAGACTTTACCAATATATATATATATATATATATATATAATGAAATTAGATTTTTTACCAGGTGACGTCATTAAATTTCTATATTTAGACGTGACAACTAGTGAAAACGTAACTGTTAAAAACGCGTCCATATATATAGATTGTCGAGGGATAAAAAACCTAAAGAGAAAAAAAAAATTATTTAAGTTTTACAGAACTTATAAAATCTTGATATGCTTGCATTCAAGATATACGTTTGCAGAGACTAGAGAGAGCAAATCCTTTTAAAATCAGATGAAGCTTTTGGAAATTGTATGAATGTGAACTTAAAAATCTTAAAAACCTGCTCTTTTTGTATCTGGAAAAACAATATAGAGTATTCTGTTCTTTCATCTTGTTTCCAGTCTATTTTATGTGAAATCTTATTCAGAGTCTAAAACAGATTAACTAGAGTTTTTGCATCTTCTGTAAAGGGTATTGAATTGTAATTTGTATCTCTGATTGTTTAGCTTAAATAGGATTAGCTCCAATCAGAAAAAATTTAGTTCAAGTTCAACTTCTAATACCACGGGTTAATATGTTATTTGTTACTTCTGATGCTAGTAACATTTATCGTGAGACTTGGACTATGATATGAAATGTGATCTTTACTAATAAATTATATTATTATGAAGCATATTATCGTGAGCCCCCCCTCCAGAGAGTTATCATTAGCCATACCAAGTTGCCACAATCCATGCATCCATGGTTGATCCTTTTCGAATGCGGATCATTCTTGATTTAAATTTTTGTAATTAACTAGTATTATAGTGCCTACGGTACTTTGTACTTTATTTTTGAAAAAAAAAAATCTGTAAAGTTTTATTAAATTAAGTACAATAGTACAATAGTTTTTGGAAAGTCAGAAGTTTAGTTAAAAGGTTTGAAAAAAAAACAATTAAAGTCATATTTTTTTTTAAAAAAACATAATGCTTAGCGAGTTGCACATAAAAAATTAATGAGAAACATTATCCAAGAATACTTAAAAGAAAATATAGTTAAAAAATACATAAATAGTAAATATAGTTAAAATTTTTTGAACATATTTGAGAAAATAAATTCAATAAAGTAATTTAAAAATATCTATTAAAATCATAGTTGAAAAAAAAGGTCCAATGCAGATGATCACATAGAAGCACTATTATTTATCCAAGTGGTATTTATTTATTTATTTGATAAATCCAAGTGGTATAATTTATTACATATGTCATAGTAGTATATCATGGATATATGCATGATGATGGTATGGTATTTATAGTTGATAATGAATGATAGTAGGGAAAAAATTGAAGTAATAATTTTATTCCTCTTCAATTCTTAATTTTATATATATATATATATATATAGAAGTGTAAGGTGTATGATAAGCCAAGTGGAGAAATCTTGACAATTAATTTAAAGTAAAAGAAGTATTAATTAATGTGAACCCTTGGATTCAAGTGGAAGTACAAAATTCATGTAAGCACATTCTTCCTTCTTATTAATCTATAAGATTAGATGTTCACACACACACACACACACACACACATATATATATATATATATCTGAAAAATTTGCCATTATTTTAGTCTTCCGTATTATTAATGACATCCAAAATTCAAAATTGAAAAGAAAAGCAGTCTATGACTATAAGTAAATTAGAGGACCGCCAATGAAAACTAAGGCCCCGTTCACTTCGCTGATGCGAGTTTAGAATTCGAGTTGAGATGTGACTTTATGTGAGAGCTTTTTACTGTAGTAAAAAAGTTAGATGTGATTGTTTGTGAGAGCTTTTTACTGTAGAAAAACTCGAATCAGCGAAGTGAACGGGGCCTAAAATGATCGATCCTTCAATCGAAATCACGTCATGCGGTATGGAAATTTTGATTAATAGTCAAATTATGTCGCTTGCCATTATTTAATTTAAAGTAAAAGAAGTATTAATTAATGTGAACCCTTGGATTCAAGTGGAAGTACAAAATTCATGTAAGCACATTCTTCCTTCTTATTAATCTATAAGATTAGATGTTCACACACACACACACACATATATATATATATATATATCTGAAAAATATGCCATTATTTTAGTCTTCCGTATTATTAATGACATCCAAAATTCAAAATTGAAAAGAAAAGCAGTCTATGACTATAAGTAAATAAGAGGACCGCCAATGGAAACTAAAATGATCGATCCTTCAATCGAAATCACGTCATGCGGTATGGAAATTTTGATTAATAGTCAAATTATGTCGCTTGCCATTATAAAATCTCATCATAACATTGGTACTTAAACCCTTCAACAAATCTCCTCATTGATTTATTAAAAATAAAGTTTTCATTGGAAAATTATACCATAGAATATATCAACATATCCCAAGTGGGATGGGATACAGTTTCCTAAGTGGGATGGGATACAGTGCTAAACTGTTATGTCACACAAATTAAAGAATACAACAATTTAATGGAACTTAATAAGAATTGGTTCATGATCGTGTCTTACTCGAGTTACTTTTTTTTTTTTTTTTAGTAAATTGTACTATTGCATCTAAACTCTTCGTTTTTTTATAATGGACTCCAAATTATTAATTTGACAAAATGCACTTTAAAATCAATAGTAATTGAGATCTAATAGTTAATTAATGTTATCAAACTAACGTTTTAAAATACGAGATTTGCACATAAAAGATAAAAAGCGTTATTTTTCAAGTCGTGTCATGTATAAACACCTTGTGTCTCAAATTATCAATATGATAATGTCATCAACTATCACACTTTAAATGCTATTGATTTTAAATATTTTGAATATATTTTACTAAAATTGAAAGTTTGGGTTCCATAACTAAAAAAACAGGATAGTTTATAGTACAACGGTGCAATTTACTTTAAAAAAAAAATCTCCTACTCATTATTATTGTTCACAGATTGATCCTCAGCCCCTGTTTAGAAGTAAAATTTTATGGAGGAAAAAAATAATACTGGGATTTTAAATTTACTTATGTTTGAACATGAGAAAATAATAAGAAAAAATTGAAGTAAAAATTTAGAATTTCTCCATTCAGGCCTCCCTATTGGTAGGGTCTTATTTTGACCGTTAGATTTTATCAAAATTATATTAAATTAAAAAATTACATCAAATTAAAAAAGTACACATAACAAATAGTTTTTAATACAAATTTAACAGCTCAAAATATAGAATCATAATAGTTTATAAATTCAGGCCCTATTAAAGAAACTATCTAAAAATTATATAATAAATGTGGATTTGAATTTCTCACCCAAATTTTAGATGGAAACTAAAATTCTATCACAAGAAATCTTAAATTTCTCTCTTCTCGCGAGAGAGTCTCTCTTCTTTGCCATCTCTCTTTCTCCTCGGCGCGATCTCTCTCTTATCTGGCGAGGAGATATGTCAGCGTCAATTGGGTATCTTCCTCGGTGTGAGTTTGCATGCGCTGCCATCATCCTCCACCATACTAGATCTCGCAACAGACGGCTAAAAATGCCAAAAAAGCTTTGGAGACATGGGCGAAATGAGCCGATCGAGGAGAAGATCTCTGAAGGATTAGGGCTTAATGATACTGACGTCAAACGTGAAAAATTTTCTATATTTTCCTACAAGCTTTCTTAAGGTTCCAAACATGATGAAAATTATCTCAGTAAAAGAAAAGAAAAAAAAATTGGTTAAAATTTTTTACGTTTTCCTCCCCCCCTTTCCTTCGAAGTTTTTTCTCTGTAAAATTCAACCTCCAAACAATGATGAAAATATCGATATTTATGAAAATATTAGTACATTTTTTTTATAGAAATATCGACGTAAATATCGATATTGGTAGAAATTGACATAAAAAGCAGAAATATGTACTACAACATTTATTTTCAAATGAAACTTTATGAAACCCTAAAATAAATAATAATACATTAATTAGATAAAATTCTCAATTAAAATACTAATTATTAGATAAAACTCTCAATCAAAATACTAATTATTTAGTAAATATGCAGGGTAAAGTGTGATCATAATACCATAAATGCTAAGCAGCCATTTACAGATTAAGTAAAATAGCTGAAAGTCAACTAATACATATACCTTACATATATGGTTTCATACAAGATGAAAATTATTAACACTAAAAGGAGCTCCTATGAGGTTAGAAGGTATTTTGAACAAACAATACTTTTGGGCACCGATAGTGCTCAACACAACCCTCTAATAGAATATGGGTCCCACAACGTGGGACTTATAGGTAGGATAAACCTTCTATTAGTAGTAGTGCTTAACACCGGTGTGCCCGTAAGTATTTTTCATTTTGAACACGTTTTTTAGTTTTAATAATATTGATACCAAGACATGATATTTGAATAGTTTCTTATATTATTTTGAACATTTTAAAAAAGTAAACTAAAAAAATATATATAAAATTACAGGAAATTTCTATGATAATTTATAGATATTTTCACGAAACTTTCGTAAATTTTCTACGACATTAAGTCATTTAATAGTACATTTTTCTTAAAAATAGAAATTTCCATAAAAATATCTATAATTGCAAAAAATTTTGATGGAAATTTTAGGATATTTTTTTTTAAAAAAAAAAGACTACACCCAATTTTCATATTAAATTTTCATATTAATACTTTCAAAATACAAACATTTTCTCAAAAATTCAGTAAAAATGTCAATTTTTTAATCATTGTCTTCGAAGAGGGTATGTTTGGAATCATCTCTAAAACCGTTTTAACGTTTTTTTGAGAACTAAAAAATGAAAATACTCTCACAAACACATTTGGCACCACATTTCTTGAAAAACAAAAATTGAAAACATTTTCTACTTATTCCCAAAAAGTCAGTAAAACTAAAAACGATCCTCAATCGTTTTTCCTTCCCCTTTCCATTTTCCCCGACCCCCCCTCTTCTCCAATCTCCCTCGACCCCCCCTCTTCTCCGATCTCTCCCTCGGCCCCCCTCCCCCCCTCCTCTTCTCCGTTCTAAGCCTTGGGTTGTCGGTGGAATCGCGCCCCAACCCCCCCTCTCCGTTCTAAGCCTTGGGTAGTCGGCGACAACGTGGAGAGGCTACATTGCACCATACACGGA